TTCTGCAGGGGATCAACCCCTTTAAAGGACCACCGCTGCTCACTGGAGGATGTTAGCCAATGTTTACTAGCAGATAGTTTTGATCTCATTGAAGGTGCATGAAAAATGCTTTGATGCCATTTTCTAGGTTGCCATCAAGCTGAGGGGGCCTGTGCATAAAATTACAAAGAATGAGCTTAATTATAAAGTACTAAGGTTCTCTATCCCTCCAATATTCTTGAAAACAGGAAGCAATATGAACTTTGCTTTTGGGACACTAAGTTCATGTTTTATTTGTTTAAATGACTGACCACAAATGGGCAAATTTATTTTTCTTCTTTGGAGAAACCCTAAAGCAGAGCAGATCATTATGTCCTCTGTGTGGTAATTCTCTAGAAGGAAACCTTAGCATTAGGGAGCAGCCACAAGTGCAGAGAGGTTAAATGGCTTACCCAGGGTCACAGGGCTAGTGTCAGAGATGAGACTTGAACCTCGGTCATTCTGACCCTTAAGTACAGCTTTCTATCCACTGCATCATACTACTCAGCAGTTTTAGGTGTCATTAAGTGAAACCAAGTATTAAACCCTATTCTGGGAATCTGAAAGTACCTTACAGTGATGCAAGGGAGAAGTGACTATATTGCATGATCATACTAATGTGACTAAGGTCGACAGCTTGAATCTCACATGAGAGTCTTATCACAACGTTTCTATGCTTCAGTTTCTTGGTCTATAAATGATAAACTATAATCCTAGTGATAGATATGGTCATGAAATGAAATGTAAATGCTTAATAATTTATTAAGAATGTTGTTTCTTATCCAGTTGTCAGCATTTTGTCACATGCAGAGTGTAGTCGAGATTTCAAAAAAGTCCTTCACATCATCCTGAAATGAGCACTCTGCCCCAGGCTATGGAATTTCTTCAGACCACATGGCAAGTTGCTGAGTTGCCATGAAAACTTTATATTTTAAAAGCTACTTTCCTTACTTTTTTTGTCACCTCACATCAAATATGTGAAGGACTACTTTCTTTACCATTTTCTCTTAGAGCATTTGCGTTGAATCTATTATGCTAAAGTGTTTCATCACAATTCCTAGGTCTGAGTCAATGGGGGTTGGGATAAGGCAGGTCATTATTTGTTCTAAGACTAAGCCTGATTCAGAGACAAAGTTATCATGTCTGTTTATTCAATATTCTTATTCTGCAGAAATTACTGTTGCACTCTTTTGAAAGATCTATTAAAATTCTTTCCATACCCATAACCTCTTTTCAGCACCTAGTCCATAATCTTTCAGAAAAAAAAAAGTTTCTCAGTTTGTACGAACATGTGTGAAGTGTGATTTTCTTGGCTATTTGGAGAGCATGACTTCATAAGAGGGCTTTACCATACAAAGAGGGCTTTACCATACAAAGTCAAACCACTCAAAGGAGGATATGACTTCATGCTACACAACTATGAGCATTACAAAGCTGATGTTTCCAAAGAAAGAGAATGGTCTTAGTGATTTTTCATGTCTGTGGGCCACTCCTTTCTCCTAGAACAGAGGGAACCCACAGCAAGTTTTCCTGCCATATTAAAGACTTTAAAAGGTTAGAAAAAAGATGACTTCATTAGCCTTCTGTAAACAGTCTTTTACCAAGTGTGGAGAAAAAGATGATTTTGATACTTAAATTTTGCCAAAACAACTCTGTCATCACAAGAAGAGACTGGATAACCAAAGAGTGTTCTTGTTTGTCTGTGTTTGATGTCCTTCTTGGAATGTTGTGGTTTAAATTCCCCTCATAGCATACTGAGAGTCACTTTTGCACCTACATAGCACTGTTGGTGGGGGCAACCACAGTGATGTGAGATGAGAGAAATGGCCCATGGGACAATTGTGTACCAAGTGAGCAAGAAGAAAGTTGGTAACAGCCAAATCTCACACATCTTTAATACAATGGGGGAAAACGAATTTACTTTTAATGATAGGCAAAAGAAACATTATCAAACGTAACACTGAACACAACTGCCCCCACCCTCATATCTCACACGAAGGACTAAAGTACTTTTTCAACTATTCTAGAGTAAACTGAGGAAGCTTCTGGAGTAGAATTAAAGGGAAGGAAGGGAGAAAAAATGATCATTCCATTTCAATCCACAAAAATCTTTCATTTCTCATCCATGCGTTTTAAAAGAATAGTTAGACTAAACCCTTATAAGCATAGCAAGGTATTCAAAATACTGCTGAGGCTGGTGAGTCTATGTTGCATGTCAAGATGCTTCCCTATCCTCCCTCCCCCAACCTCCAACCCAAGCAATCAACCTACCCATTTCTCTGGCAGCTCCCTCTGCCAAAGACATTAAACGGGGTAGAGAGATACAACTAGAAGAAATTGAGGGACAAGGAAAAATTAATTCTTGATTTCTTGAAGCCTCACATTTCTGGAAGCAACAGGACCTAAATAAAAGATTTTGCTCTTTCCTATTCTAATTTTGGCTAATTCCTGTACAGTTGTACAAGTCTTTTTTAATATAACTTAGTTCACACTGCCCAGTAAGTAGAATTTTTTTGAATGTTGATTTCCCCAAAATTGGCATGACTCTCTGGTAAAGGCAAAACAGAGCAGAGGCTGAAAACTATTCCTTTGAAAATGGGACAAATTCCTTGTTTTACAAAAGTTTCTCTTCCCTCAAAAGGGTAAAGAAAAAAAGGTTTTAGTATTTTGTCTTTTTTTTTTTAGAGGAAGGGACTCATCTGGGCTCTCCTCCCATGATTCTCAGGGTTCATGCTTCAGTTAGGAACCCACTTGGGTAAGTGAAAGCCTCAAAAGCCACCCCCCCTAAGCTCAAACTAAATGAAGAGGCTCTTAAGACCCAAAGGAAGACATGGAAGATAAAACACAGTGGAAAAAACTTCCCCTAGTATTCTGACTGAACTCCTTGTAATAAGTGGTCAGACCTATTATTGAAAATTGATAGGTATAGATTTTGCACACACATATACACACAAAAATGTTGCCGTGTGTGAGCCCATTCACCTACAGGATATTCCCCTCATGTCCCCTAGAAGCAAAGGAATGGGTGCCCATCCTGCTGAGGACCCTTGGCAAACTCAATGTTTACATAAAACACCAGCCTCTCAAAGGGAGAGAATCTCTCTTTTCTACAGCTAAAAGGCAGGCCTCCAAAGATATAGGAAGCACACATTCCCAATTTGTCAGAATGCTCAACCTCATGCTTCTAGAAAATCACTCCTAAAAAATATCACCACCACAAAGCTATCTTTGAGTACATATGTAGATTTCTTTTCAAGGCTGTTGTGACTTATTAAATCTTTTTCTTTTTCTTTTTTAAGTCAATTGAGATTGAATGACTTGCCTTGGGTCACATAGCTAGTAAGTATCTAAGCCTTATTTGAACTCAGGTCCGCCTGACTTCAGGATTTGGTGCTCTATCCACTGCCCCACCTAGCTGCCCCTGTGACTTATTAAATCTTCACCAAATTTATGCATAGATTTCACCTCCGTATAGTTTCATGTAATGGAATATTGCCTCTCTGAGAGCTTACAAAGTGATTTGAACTGACAGACCTCCAAAATGTCTTCTGATGTAACCGAGCCCTAAGATAATGCTTATACTCAAAAATCCCATATAGAAGGTTCACATCTATAAAGAGGCTCATGCTTCTTCTCACTGAGCAAATTACCTATTCTGGAAACAACTACTGTGATAAACATGGATTTCAAAGGTCAACTTCATAGGGTCAATGGTGAATTTACTATTAAAAAATAACTTTCAAAAAGTACCCAGTAACTAAATCGTTGCCTTAGTAGATAAAACTCAGAAAACTGGCTCAAAGTAACATGTCTGAGGCCCTACAAGCACAGATAAGGAGGAGAAAAAAAAAAAGAAACAGAAAAAGGAAAGGAAACCCTTTCCTCCCCCCTTGTACTGGGCTATGTGCTGCAATAGTTGTTAACTTAGCTCCTGCTGGTGTTACATAACTGAGACACAACTTATATTTTTTGCTTCACTGCAAACATATTCACCATATTGTCTTCACAGTCTTTAAAATTTAGCCTGTTAAATAGAACAATCGGTAGTGCCCAGACACTGAACTAAGCCCACCTCTCTTCCAGTGTTACAGGAAGGGTGTTAAGCCTAATGGAGTAGATCACAGAAAGGCACAAACAACTGCTTTTAGTTGAATGTTATGTTTGGGGTGTTAGGCTAGAAGGGGAAAGCCCATATGCTATGTGATTTTTCAAGCTAAGTTATTCTGATGACAAATGTTTTTATCCCAATCTTCTAGATCCCAAGAATTCAGGGAAGGGAGGGAAAAATAATTAGAGCATGAAATATTCTAGATCTTTATGCTCTGAAGACTCCAGTGGCCAAAGGGAATTCTACCAAATACCAAACAAAGAAAACTTTTGGACTGAACATTAAAAATAGAGGGCACAATTTTATGAGGTGAAAAAAAAAAAAGACTTTTCCTTGTCAATGAGCCATTGGTCTTAAATAAATCAGGGCACCCATTCCTTTATGGAGAAGGGGAATGGAATCTAATAATAAATAATTCTTAGGTACAATGAATTATCTAATACTCCATAGTACAATCTCAAACAGAGCTTAGTGAATGGGAAAGTGAATTATGCCACATGGGAAAGGAAAGAGGCACAAAGTTTCCATAAAATACTGTATCAGAACCTCTTAACCTCACTTCAAAATCACACCCACCACTACACTATGACAGGTCTTTGTTAATATTCAAGGCCTCACCCATTGGCCAGTTTGCATTGGGAACATCAAAAGGGATCTAACGGGGAGACCAAATCTGTACTAGCAGGTCTAAAACCAGGTGCGTTGAACACACACTTGGACTAAAAGAGGTTAGGACCCCCTGTGTACACTGCACCCCACAGCCTGCCCACTCAATGCTAAATTTTGGTTTCATTCAATTTCATACACAAAAAGAACACAGATTAGTATCCACAACACACTACGTAACATTGCCGCAACTTCTACACACAGTCGGTAGACAGCCCAGAGCCAGAATTTTATTTTCCTGCTTTCTTCACTTTTCCTTGGTCATCCACCTTCTTGATAGCTGCTTGGATGACTTCTTGGTCTCCCAGGAACTGATGAGGGCCAACAGCACGGAGGTTCTCATCCAGTTCCAGGAGAATGGGGACACCAGTAGGGAGGGTGATGTTGATAATGTCATCATCTGAGATGCCTGCAGAAGAGGGAGAAGGGAGCAAGGAAGAAGTACTTAAAAAAAAATAGGCAGATGGATCTTTTTTTTTAAATAATAAAGTAACCGAATAACCCCATTTAATAAGTACCTTATTCTGTACCTGGCACACATTCATAATCTAGGGATAACAGGGACACGAATAAAATATAAATTCATCCCTGCTCACAAAGATTTTGACAGAGTTGAAGACTAAACACATGAGAAAAAACAAAATCATGCTTACTCTCTCAAGTTCTGAGTTTTATGAGGGTAACCAACATTTTGTTAATCTGTTCCCACTCGGAATGCTTTGGAAAAAGCATGGGGAAAAGAGACAAGTAGAGCAGCTTTGAAAGTTACACATTGGATTTCGTCTCTATTTTGAAAGGAAAAGCAAGTTGTATGCAGCAGAGATTCAGTTCCATGTACAATCTTCTTTTTCTATATGGAAATGCTCCTCTGCGTATGCATGTTTTGCTATTAAGTTCAGAAAAATACAATTTAATTTTTTTTTTAAGAAAGAGTTCAAAATTTGGAGTTGGAGGACCAGGTTTCTCATCCTATTTCTGTCTTTTGTGACCTTGATAAGTTACATCACCCTGCAGACTACATGGTGCGTCTTCTGTAAAAAAAAGGAGTTGCGTCCTCTTTATCTCTACTCTACATCTAGGATCTTACAGTGGTTGGTCTTTCTACACACGTTTGTGGAGACTATGTTTTCTTCAGAAAGCCTTCATCCTCCTCCTCAGAAATCTGAAGGCCAGAGGCCTCTTCTCTCACTTCCTTTTTCTTCTATATATAGTAGGGCATTTAAAAAACAAAAAACCATCGCAGCCAAACACTGTCCTAGTTCTCTGGGGGTATTACTAAAATTAGATCTCTTCCTCTAATGTCTCTACAAGCCAGCCTCATTTGGTAGGAATGTGGCTGGCATTTCCAACACCAATCAGGCCTGGAACACTCTGGGCTAGACCCCGCCAAGCATAAGCTTCCCTCCCTGGATACCCAGCAGCCGTTTCGGGGGAGTAACCTTTATATCTGGGTACTAGGGTGGCCCTGCACACAGCAGAACAGGAAGGTAAGGTGGAGGATGGAGGAAAGTTTACAAATAGAAAGCAGCATAAACACTCAATTTACCTGCTTTAACATAGAAAATATTTATTTAATAAAGGAATTCACAAGTATACAACAAACACTTATTAAGTGCCCACTATGTACCCAGAACTGAAATAAAAATACAAAAGCAAAACTGTTCCTGCCTTTGTGGAGTTTCTAGTCTAACAAGGGAGATACAATTCACACCTCTAGCTAAATAGTAGATACACACGCGCACACACACGTTAACTTGGTAGAAAGGGAGGTCCCACAAGGATACTCCTCATACAGAAGGTGACATAGTGCATTGAATGCTGGGCTTGGAGTTCCAATTCTGCCTCAGGAACTTACTAGTTGTATAACCCAGGGTAAAACCATAACCTCTCAGCCTCTGTTTCCTCATCTGTTAAACAGGAATAATAATAGTACATGACCTCAGCATTCTTTTAAGGATCAAATGAGGTAATATGTGCATAGCACTTTACAAACTTTAAAGCGCTATGTAAATATTAGCTATTGTTGTATGATCATGACCAGTTAGTGGAAACAAATGGCAGAATTTGAGTCGGAAGAGACCTAGGTATCAATCTAGTCCAAGCAATACAAGAAATGGTAGGTCGCAGTACCCCCACTACTCCCCAAATTCTCAAATTTACAATGAACGTGGCCAGAGAAAACAGGTGCCAAACATTGACTCCCAAATCGAAATAAGGGTGGGAACCAACCCATCTACAAAAGGAATCATTCATGAATGTCTCAGAGATCTCAAAAGACAAGCGGGAACATATATGCACCAAACAATCAGACCCAAAGGAGGCCAGCCATCTTGCCACACATTCCCTCTTTAGGTGGAGAAGCAGGAAGAGGGTGGCAACAGCTAATCAGCTTGGTATAAAGAAAAGTGTATTGACTTTGGTTTCAGAAGACCTGGACCCCAATCCTGCCTATGGCTCTTACTAGTTGCCTTTGGGCAAATCACTTAACCTCCCTTGGCCATAGTGTCCTCATCCATAAAATGAAGGGGTGGGATTATGTGACCTCGGAGCTCCCTTCAGGCCTAGGTTTATGATCCCTGCATCCTTCCCTGCACCCTAAAATTCCAGGTCCAGAATTTAAGAACCCTTCCAACTGGTCTCTTCATGACCCCTTTTGGGGTTTTCTTGGCAAAGATACTAAAGTGGTTTGTCATTTCCTTGTCCAGCTCATTTTACAGATGAGGAAACTGAGGGACCTGCCCAGGGTCATGTTATCCTACTACAAACCAAAGGGGAAAGGAGGGACAGACAGAGTATACATAAGAGCACTAAACTAGGTGACTAGACACCCAGATCTCTGTGACATGACTATACTTTGTAAACTCTGAGACTGGCCGTCCCAGATCTATCCTGACAGGGCCAAAGCAGCTGCCGCGTGGATCCTCTTACTGACTACCTTGAAAATTCAAGGACTTACCCACTCATTCAATCCCAAGTATTTACTGAATTCTAATTAAGTGAATTACACTGTGAGATATACAAAGAAGGCCCCACCATTAGCAAACTGCGTAGCCGGGTGATGATAACAACAACCAACATTTATATAGTGCTTACTACTGCCAGGCACTAAGCTAAGTGCTCTACAGTTATTATCTCATTTGATCCTCACAACAACCCTGCTAGTATTATCCCCATTTTACAGATGAGGAAACTGAGGAAAACAAAGGCAAACTTTGTTTAGAACTCAGGTCTTCCTAACTCCAAGCCTAGTGGCTCTATCAACTGTGGCATCACCAAGCTTGGGCTACAGTTTTTTCATCATATAATAAATGTTTTTGCCTTTATTCTCTCTGAGAATCTATCCTTCATCCATCCAACAAGTATTTGTTAACCATAGGACATGGTTCTTACCCTGAAGAAGCTCAGAGTCTATTATTTAATTTCATTTTCCCCAACAAGGGAAAAAAAACCAAAACATTTCAAAAAACACAAGGTTAGGTTCAGAGGTGGGAAGAGATGACAATGCCGTCAGTCAGACCCAGGAAGTGCCAGTTCTAACTCATAATTATTCTTCAGGTTGGGTGAGATCTGGGGGGGTCTCTCTCCTGCAAGGCAACTCAGAACTCTCTGGGAGCTTTGGAATAAGCCTCCCCTTGAGAATCAGCCCCTAAGCAGAACATTTGACAGTTTCCAGGAACTCCAGGGCTATTCTAGACTTACGTGGATGTCCCCTAACAAAAGGTGAAATCAAAACAAAACCAAAACGCCTACACCAAACTGAAAGGATGCCAGGTCTGGCCCAGAAGAGACCAGAGCTGCTAAGCACCTGAACTGCTCCTGTTTGTGCTAGAGACAACAGGTTCTTTCCTGTTGAAGCCTGCCAGGACCTACCAACAAGCATTTGTATTTCTTGAGGAGATGCTCTCTTGTATTTAACACATGCCAAGGGTTATGATGACTGATGTTGGCCTCTTTTGCTTGCAATCCCCACCTCTCAAAAGCAGCTTTAACTGAAAATAATAATTCATAGTCCAACATGTTCCACTAGATCCATACCCACCCCTAAAGTTACTATGGTGAATATATAAAACACACACACACACACACACACACACACACACACACACACACACGGGGGTGGGTAAGAAGAAAGGGGTTGGGGCAGCTAGGTGGCACAGTGGATAGAGCACCAGCCCAGGAGTCAGGAGGACCTGAGTTCAAATTCGGCCTCAGACACAATACTTCCTAGTTGTGTGACTCTGGCCAAGTCACTTAACCCCAATTGCCTCACTAAAAAGGAGAAGAAAAGCAGAAGAAGAAAGCTCCTAGGAGGCAAATTTTCTTAAAGAGAAGAAAATTTGATGTCCAAATGAATTTCTTCAATCACCTGAAGCTTTTTTTTTTAAGTCACCTGATCTTTTCCTACTGGCTGATTTCATCCATTTCCAAGAAAACTTTTGTGTGTCCAGCTCAACCAAGCCTCTGATCTCTCCCCATTCCATTATACAATGCACACCAGTAAAAAACTAAACCTTCCAAAGCTTCTCATCCCTTCACCCTTTTATAAAAAAAAAAAATCTTCAGTGTCTTCCCATTATCAAGTAAATGAAGATAGAGCAGGCATTCATGGTCCTCTATGATTTGGCCCCACCCCACATTTCCAGATTTCCCTCATTATATAAAAGGCACCCCCCCCACTATCTAATTAAACTGAACTAATTGCTGTTTCTTGAAAACACCCCAAACACTTGGTCACCTCGGCCCCTGCTCATGCTGTTCCACGTACCTCACCTTTTCCAGCCCTATTTATCCAATTCTAGAATTCCCATCCTTCAAGACCCAGCTCAAATACCACCTCCATGAAGCCTTTCCTGATACCTCCTGGCCAGAAGTAATCCCCTCTTTTTTCAGAACTTTGTCTCTCCATGTATTTTTACCTTCTACCTTATATCATGGTAGTTAGGGTACTTTTCTGATATTCTGATGACTAAACTTGACAGGGACTAGACCTTATATCCTCCACAGTGGCTGACACATAACAAGTGCCCAAAAACTATCTGTTAAATTAAAAGTACTTCATTCCATTACAGTAGATGCCTTCAAAAAGACAGGCTTTGAGTACTGCTTGCAAGAGGCAGAACAGAGGCACGATGGGGCAGAGAAAACAGGGTGTGTACTAAAGATGGAAAGCTGGTGTGATAAAAATTCATTTAAAGACATGTCTGGATTTATAGTGAGGTTCTCCACTTAAATTGTTTTCAAATGACTGGTATGGAAGCTCCATCCCTATAACATGGCTGTAGAGTGAAACTTAAGTGACAACAGGTCTATCAACAATGCTTCGCTAATGCCTGGCTATTCAGGGGTAGCCCTGTTTGCAATGCACCACTCATCAATCCCCTGGCGGCAGAGTACCTTAACTGTGGGCCC